AAATGCACGTCGAAATTAGCTTGTTCGAGAAACCCGGTCACGGTAGTGATTACAGACGAATGTCCCGAATGCGTTAAAGAGTCGGTCCATTTCGACTTGAGCGGTACATCGTTTGGTGCAATGGCGATTTCTGGTCAAGATAGTCAGCTTCGCAATGTCGGAGTTTTGCAGATTCTTTATAGAAAGTATATATGTCATGTCATATTTTCATTTGGTTATTATATATTATAATGTTTTGATTTATTAATTTAGCAAAAAAAATGTTTTGATTTATTTGTTTTATTTAACTATTTTCCATTTGTAGAGTTGAGTGCAACTACATTGGTAAAACGGTGACGTTTAAAGTGGAGGAAGGTTCAAACACTAACTACTTCGCGGCTTTGGTTGAGTATGAAGACGGAGACGGCGAAATCGGTCGAGTCGAACTCAAGCAAGCGTTAGATTCTGATACGTGGCTTACGATGAGCCACTTATGGGGTGCCGTGTGGAAGCTTGACATGTCATCACCTTTGCGGGCCCCGCTGTCTCTCCGGGTAACTTCGCTGGTCTCCGGCGAAACAATTGTGGCTTCCGATGTTATTCCGGCCGGTTGGCAGCCCGGCATCAAATATAAATCGAACGTGAATTTTCAAGTCTAAGCTAGAAGTAAATTAATTATTAGTATATAATATTAATAAATCAAATAAGAAAATAATTTACTAAAATATATAAAATAATGTATTTATGAAATTATATAGCTGTTCAATGAAGTAAGTTATTTCAATAATTTGTATAATATATATGTATGTAACTTTAGTTCCAAATCAATATAAAAAATTAGCTGTTCGTTAAACATTAGTTCGAAGCAGGTCATATTTATAAACGGTTAAAACTCAAATGATGATAATTAAGTACTTGCATGTAATTTATTTCGTAACGCAAGAAATAGTCTAACAAATATGCCGGAGAAAGATATATGCAAAATTTGGGTGGGTGATGTATCTAATTTGAATCGATATTGAGTAATTGGTAAAACATTAGTTTTTTTTTATTTTTGAGAAACGAAAACATTATTTTCATTAGCTAACGAAATACTATTTTTTTTCCAGATTATATATACTATATAAACAAGAAATTTACTTGATTTCAATCTGTCTCTTATTTTTCTCGTAGAGAATATTGTCATGTTAAAACTCTAATAGACAAGGATAATTTGATCATGGAATAAATATTTAATTTGCCAGACCAATTAGCTATGTATGGATTTTTCAACTGAACTGAATAAAAAAAGGTTAAAATGCATGATTTTTTTGTTTGTTTGTCAACAACTTACATTGTGAGGCTTGAATCTAGATGGAGAATGGTAGTGTAGTTGACGACACTAATATAAATTACTAAGCTATTTATTCTGATTAGAAAATTATCTGGGGGGGGTGGGGTGATTGAATCTCTTTTTTTACATGGATCTCTTTTTTTTTTTAGATCCATTGCTCTCCAAATCCGAGACTCTAATATGGCTTGGGCTTTCTATGATAAAGCATGGGGATGAGATTAAAAAAAAAGTTTTTTTTTGATTCTCCATGTAATTTGTGTTATTCACCGACAATACAAGATATATAACAAGTGCGAATAGTCATTCTAATGGATGCAATAGTCACAAATCCGAATCTTAGTCGTAGAAACTAAATAGGTTAAATAATGATATTCAGGTTCTTTTACTAGTTTTTGATTGGTGTTTCATGTTTCATGTTTCATGTAGTTTTCTGGAAATGCGCGTTTTCATGTTAGGATTGTTGTTTTTGTCTCAGAATTGTTGTCAAGAGACTGTATTTTTTTTTGTGGGTACTTTTTTTTTTTCTTTATAGCCTCATAGGCTCAGTTTGGGTATTACATAAGAAAAAAAACAATTGAAATTAGCCCATATAGTCAGCCCAAGTTGAAAATATGTTGCCAGAGATGGAAGGGTGCATGGATGAGAAGCTTAAACAAGAAGAGATGAGTGCGTAGAGAACCAGTACTGAATCATAGTCGCAGGTTTAGTGAGATTCGATTCGTTTCGATTCCTTAGAAGAAGGTCAATATCCTTTGTTACTACTCTGGCCGAAGATCTGAAGGAGTTTCGTTCAATCCAGATCAGGTACATGGAGGCTTGCCATGCAATTAGAACAAGGCTCCTGATTGCTTGAATTATTTAAGTTGGTCTAGCAGTAGATTCCAGCAACGTTGGGGTTGAATCAGTAGATCAGAAAATCCCAAATTCAGTGAGCCTTCTGCTTGTAGAATGTTACCAAATGGAAACCAGTTACAAATTCACAATACAAGATAACAAGTGTTAAAATGAACTCAATATTTCGTTTGTAATTAATAATTTTAAGATTTCGGTATAAAGTCCTTGTATGAACAATTTGTTTTTGTTGCATAACTTTTAATGACTCTTGGAGTCTATGAATATGTATTGCAGAGGGAATAGAAAAAAAGAAAAAAAGAAAACAGAAGGTGGTCCCAAAAACATAACCCCACTAATAAACACAGACGTGACTTGTTTGAAGAATAAGCAAGAAAACAGAAGCCATCTTTCTATTTTGGGAAATGAGGTCCCTTTCCCATTACGTCTTGACGTGGACCCTATCAGGCTATATTAAGCCAGCTTAATCTGACGGTTCTTAATCCTTGTTCGACCATTGATTGAACTTAAAACCGTCCGTTTCAACTTAATGGACCACATCACCAGTAACTTAATGGACCACATCACCAGTAGCTGTCGTGTAGGTTCTCTTTCACGTGGCATTTATTTGTTCTAGTTTCCCCCTAATCCTATGCTTTTGCAAGTTGATGCGGTCCCCATCCATCACCTAGCATCGAGA